ATATATATATATATTATATAAAATTCATATTTTCCTTACATTTACCCTTGCGAAACAAATGAGTGATATCTAATTATTCAACAGTGAAAGAATAGTTCCTTAATTTTGACAAAGAAATAATCAAATTAAGTTCTACAATTCTTAATAAAACATTTCTATATTGTCCATATCAGGTTTCTTGAATCCTGATTAGCATACTAATTAAAAATATTCAACTATATTAATCTATATACTAATTATCGAACTCCGTTGGGATTTCCATCCACGATTATCTCCAATGAAAGATTGGTTCATTTCCACTAAACTAACATGTATGTATGGCTAGCTCCTTCCCCACCCCATGTCCTCTTTTCTACTGTCACACTCACTGACATTTTCAACTAATACGAAATTATAATATGCATAGGGATTAAGGAATGGAGTAGGGACCATTGCAAGTTTAAAAACTTTAGAAGGGGACGAAAGAGCGTTGCTTCTTTTGCGGCCATACCATTAGGAAGAATAGGTGACGTACTACAAGGTACACCCCTAACAGTAACAAATCTCCAGCATCGGAGATCCATAACTGCAAGACCTTATTTATTCTTACAAAACAACTAGAAATTGAAGAGAAAAGTAACAAATCTCCTCTGTGCCAAATCGCTCTATCATGATATCCTATACAAAACTTATGATGATATATTGCTTTGTTATACATAATAACTATAGTCTACTCCCCTCTTTTTATGATCTTCCTTCATTTGTAAACACGCATACATGGCCAAGAAAAATCTCGAAGTGATGATGTGTATGTACATAATTAAATCAACATATTCAAATGAGGATGTACAAATAGATTACTATGCTTCAATGACATTACATAGATTGGTTTGAATATAAATTTAAAAGTATTTTTAAGAACTTAATTTTTTTAGTGATATAAATTCTTTATTTTTAACAGAAAAAATCTTTAAAATATTTCTAATTTATATCTAAATAAATTGATAATTACACGTATATATTATTAATGAAGTAAATATTGAGGAAGTTGGAAAAATGAAAAATGGAGGTGATTAGCAAGAGACGGAATTATTGAGGCGCATGGTGGATAGCAGTCAAGTACTTGCACACGGAAACTATGTCAGCATACTTGTCGTGGTCGTGGCTCACTTAAAACCACACGTGCATGAGCTTTTCCCATCTCACAAAAGATACAGAGCCCCATATCGAGCAACTTTTTTGGTTTCTTATATTTTAGTTTTACGCCTTTTTTTCTTCTGTGGTTTCTCTGCTCCATCTTTTAGCTTTAATCCTTACATAAAAATCAGCGATGACCCTAATGGAAGTGAAACTATGCTTTCACTTGGTAGTAAAAAAACATTTCATCCACCGACAATCCAATTATCTTAGTGATGGGATCTTACATATATGCGTTCACACTACTTAAGGTTTGTGCTTCCGAATCCTTGCTGCATGACCATGACTGCCTCCCTGGGATATGGTTGGATATGATGTGGTCGGCTTACCAATAAAAGTCTATGAGTATTCTCTTATACTCAACTAAAACTGGATCACTTCTTTCCAATTCATACATCACCCAAACCCTTCCAATTTATATTTTCTTAATTTTCCTTCCATTAGTAATGGGGTATATTCTCATTTCAACCCTCACTATGCTATAGTATAATTCCAACATAAACGAATCATACTTTATAAATGAATGAATAATAATTTGCTGCCGCATTAATTGGTCTGTTTTACTATTGTACGAAAAATATAATATGTAAATTAGGTTGCCCCTTCTTTTTTACGAGAACTGGCTTTTTTGGGATTTTCAAATGGCGATTTCTCAAGAGGCAAGAGGGTGGAATTAGCCTCACCGATTTAATTAACATATAATATATGTATGTTTTTTTTTTTTCATGTCACGCCATTCATTTTTTTTAATTTTTTATCGGTACAAACTTTTTTCGTAACTTAGTCATAAATTCTCCGTGTGTTTCGTTCGTTTGTAAGACAACTTGAGCGAATACCGATGGTCCAAAGGATTAATATCTGCTGCAAAAGCTTCGCATGGCGAAACCAAAAAATTTAAAAATTAAAAATAGAAACGGGAAGTGTGAAAAGAAAAAAAGAAAGAAAAGTAAATAATTAAGAAAGCGACGATAAGCTTTGATCAGATTTCGTAGATCACATGCACACGAGTGAACACTATTATTACAATTTGGCATTTTACAAAAGACGGAGAAAAAAGAAACGAAAAATATTCATTTAACGCCGTTAGAATCCAGCAGCTGGCGGAACCCCGTTCACACCCTAAACCAGTCAAGCGGTCAAAGGCTACGTATGAAAGCGTCGACCATGGCATTGGCATGCATTGATTGCCACCGGCTCAACGTTGCCCGTACCACTCCATGACCTACAATTGCCGGTCAACTCTCGCCTTCATTTCTATCTTTGTTCCTTCCACACAGTTTTCACTTTCTTCTAAACCCAAAACCACTCTCTCTCTCTCTCTCTTTCTTTTTCACACACACAAACCAAGCTATAAACCAGATCAACCCTACCTCAAGAGTACCGTGAAGTTTGAGTTGTGGTGTTTGAGAAATGAAGGATTTGAGCATATGAGAGATCAACTTGTTAGGTATATGGAGAAGAAGGAGATGGCTGTGAAGACTGAGGATGCGGTTGGGTCCTCTTCTTTCCCTTGTTATAATTCAAACGTGTATCCATTTTCTAGTGCCTTTGATTTCCCTGAGGTCGAAAAGAACTCTTTAGGGTTTATGGAGTTACTGGGTGTGCAGGACTACAGTCCTCTGCTTGAGTTACCTCAACTTTCAACTTTGTCTGTGCCTCATCACTCCACAGTTAAGCTTGCATCTGATAACGTGAAAGAGTG